CTTTAAAGACAAGGACTATTTCATTTGTCTTTGTAGCCCCAGCATCTCACCCAGTGCATCATACAGAGAAAGCACTTGATAAAAGTTTGCTAAATTTAATTATCCAGTAATGCCAAATAAATATGGCCTTACTATGTGTGTACATATACATTTACTAAGGAGATCTAACATTTTTCAGGATAACAATGTTAATAAAAATTCATTGAAGAAAAGACAGAATGTATCCAAACACCTGTTTTACAGGGTTTCTCATTCAACATAATGCCTCTCATAGAAATCAGAAACAGTATGAACAGAGGCTACCAGACTAGGACATAGAAATAATAAAATGCCACTTTACATTTAGATTATTGTTATATTATTAACAATTTATAAAGACTTCTCATATCCATGTATACAAGTAATTTTAAAGTAGTATTTTTTAAAATTAGCTTCTACCTGTATTCCAAGTTAGTGGAAAATATAAACACAAAAACATTAACATGGCATAAAAGCACTACTACAATTTCCAGCAGGCCAATGAAAAACTAGACTACATCAATTAAGTGATAACTTATGACTGACTGTGAAAATTGACAACATTTTTCCTAAATGAGGTTATATTTCATTTTTTCCAGTCTGCATTAAATGTAAAGTTCCATAACCAAAAAAAAGTAAACCAAAACGTACAATAATTGAACTTACGATGTAAGAAACAGTCATATTTAAAGCAGCGCCTGCAGAAGAGTGTATGAAACGAGTGCAGGCTTTGCTCCCTCTGAACAGACTTGGCATTTGGTCCATCTATGTTTGGTGTACATTCGGGAGGAAGGGCTCCTGGAAGTTGCTGCTCTGTTAGTTCTTTATACCTAAAAGCAAAAAAAAAAATTAGTAACAAGAACAAAGAATGTTTTTGAAAGCTAAATTCTTAAAATCATTTGAGTAGACAAAGTGATCGTTGCAACTGTCCTTTCAGTACTTATCTTCAGGGGCAGCTAGATGGCACAGTAGATAGAGCACTGGCCCTGGATTCAGGAGGACCTGAGTTCAAATCCAGCCTCAGACACATAACAAATACTAGCTGTGTGACCCTGGGCAAGTCACTTAACCCCACTGCCTAGCCAAAAGAAAAAAAAAGTACTTATCTTCACTCACACACACACACACACACACACACTGTCTTGGAAAAAGGCTGGCCAATGATTCATGCTCAGATTAACATGCTGCCTGATGTCCTCCAGTTCACTGGATGGCTCGTAAAAACTTCCTAACATCTGGGATTCACATTCACTCAACAAAAACTTACTGAGCGCTACTACATTCATGGATATGTACTAAGCATTACAAGAGATAAAAGATGCCAAAGCACCTCCTCCCATGTGGATCATAGTCTAATCAGTAAATATGTCATACAAGAAATTATAAGAAAAGGTAAAATGAGAAGTACTGTTCACTATGGTTATTTAGATCAGAGAGGGAAAGTTCACGTTAACTACGAAGATAAGGGAAGGCTTTATAAAGGAACTGATATTTTAGCTGGGTTTTGAAGAATGATTGAGATTTCAATATGTAATATGGTAGCTAGGCTATTCCATGTGAAAGAAAAGTATAAACAAGGGAAAAGGAGAAAAAACAGGTGCTGGGGATAGCAAATGATGCCAGCTATAGAGTATAGGAAGGACCAGGCAATAAGGTTGGAAAGGTAGATTAAAGCCAAATTAGAGCTTTAAATGTCAAGCGAAGAAATTTGGACCTAATTCAGTAGAAAATAGGAAATCAAAAAAAGGATTTTGAATAGAGAAAAATACATTAGTATTAAGATTATAACATATATGTAATATACAAGATTAGTACCAGCACGTAAGAGGAATTGGAGGGGAAGAGAACAATAGAAAGAACATAAGACCAGTTAAGAGGCTGTTGCAATCATTCAGAAGAATAAGTGAAGGCCTGATCTAGGGTGGGTGCAGAGGGGATGGAGAGAAAGGGACTATTGTGAGAGTAAAAAACAAAACAGAGCAACTGATTAGATGGGAGCATAAAGTTAATTTGGGCAAAAAAAGAGAGAGTACTAAAAGATAATCTTACAAAGCTTTGAGCCTGAATAACTGGTAGAACAGACATAACACTTATATGAAATGGAAAACCAAGAGGAAGAAGAGGTCTTGGGAAGAAAATATAGCCTTGTATGAGGTGTTTCTAGAAGCCTGAAGACACCCAACTAAATAGTACTGGAGTTTGAGAGAGTAGCAAAAACCCTAAGAAGTCAGAGGAAATGCAGGTTTGGGTTTTTGTTTTGTTTTGGTTTATGGGTTCATTTGAGATATCTTAATTCAGACCCAAATAACGGGAATGAGCCACTATTAAAAATAGCCTGTCAGATTATTGATGGACGACAGTCTTCTGGTACTAGATTCTGTGTATGAAAAAACTGAAAGTTCTACGTGCAAGGAAGTTTAGTATATATACAAGTGCAGAAACCTACATGCTGAGAGGACTGGTAGCCTTACTGCCTTATGGGGCCCATTATATAGATAAGCGCCCTTGCAATGTCCTTGATTCCTATTTAATGGCATTAGAATCAATTAAATCTTTCTCTGCTCTAATCTCCTTTTAATAGACAAATTCGTTCTATGAGTCAAAGGGAAGGCAGGGTCCCCTTCTTTACCCGTCTTAGAGAGGGGAAAAGAATGTTTCATATGATGGATTATTACCTAAATCCTCACAAAGGCCAAGAGCTCACCATTTTGACTACACACACCTCATGGGTCTATTCCAGGGATGGAGAAGGCAAGAAATAAACTAGCTGACCAAAAGGCTGAAATAAGTCAAAAGTCTGAGAAATAAGTGGGAAAAGTCTCACTTTAACAGGGACACGAAATGTCCATGAGAGAAAGGAAGAAGGGCACTTTGTTCTAAAGAACAGCAACTCTGAAAGAGCTACTGGAGAACAGATTTTGAGAAGTAGAACTAGCCACCAGAAATAAATGCCACAACACATCAAGGACCTGTAATTTTAAAGGTTTGAGAATGCCTCATGTGGGAACACTTTTCAGAGTCTAAAAATCTGTAACTTATCTTTGAGACTTGTCTGAGGCTAGGAGAGATCAAGTGCCTTGTCCAGGGTTGGACAGCTATTAAGAATCAGAGGAAGCATTTGAATCCAAATCTTCCTGACTCCAGAGCAGCACATTCTAAACACCGTACCCACTAACCCACAAACCAAGGCTACTGGAAAGGAAGAGCTGCAAAGTCCTATAGCCCCCAGATAGCTGACTTTCAGGTCCCCCTCCCTACCTGCTAGTCCTATAAATATAAAGCTAGGCTCAGAGGTGGAAGAAAAAGAAACTTCTCCCACTCTATTACTCTACTAGACCTACCTAATTTCAACTTAGTCAAGGCTGATAATCTTAAGACAAAGTAAGGAAAACTGGATAGCCTCAATTTGGACATTCCTAATATATCATACCCTAATAAAAAGGGTAGGCATATAGCTCACTCAGGAAAGAGGATACCTGGGGCAATAATAAAAGTCTTTTTCAAATTCCCAAGTAAACTTATTACTTATCCTAAAAAATAACCAGGATAAAGTACTTCTCTCTCTCTCTCTCTCTCTCTCTCTCTCTCTCTCTCTCTCTCTCTCTCTCTCTCTCACACACACACACACACACACACACACACACACATTTTGTAAAACAAAAGGTAATGGAGCAGAACCGCTGATCAGCTATGTCAGTTTCATTTCCAGAAGCCAAAAGGGGGAAAGAAACAAACATTTATTAAGCACCTACTATGTACTATGTGCTAAGTGCTTTACAAATAATATCTTATTTGAGAAAAGTGACAAGTTATATTTTAGGCAGGGAGGAAAGAAAAATCTTACTTCTCCTTTAGTTCTTCTGCTGTTCCCTTATCAGGAAACATTGAGGAAATGGCTTCAAAAATCTTGTCAGAAGGAAATTTCCGAGGTGGGTGGCTTTCTTTATCTAAACAAAAATGAAATAGGAATAAACAAAGTTGTTTACTACTATATACTACTAAATTTTCTTCCCACAGAGGTTAAATTCTCCAAATCAAAATTTAGACAAAAATCAGTCATCATAACCTGTATTGAGTTGTTTGCCTTTGCAATGAGGGTGGGTAGGAAGGGAGGAAGGGAGAAAATTTGGAACCCAAAGTTTTAAAAACAAATGTTAAAAAATTGTTTTCACACGCAACTGGGAAATAATATATACAGGCAATGGGGTATAGAAATCTATCCTGCCCTACAGGAAAATAGAAGAGGAAGGGGATAAGAGAAGGGGTGGGGGAGATAGAAGGCAGAGCAGATTAGGGGAAAGGGTATTCAGAATGCATGCTGTCTTAGGACTGGGGGAAGGACGAGATGGGGAGAAAATCTGGAACTCAAAATCTTGTGGAAGTGAATGTTGAGAACTAAAAATAAATTAATGACTCTTTTTAAAAAAAAGTAACATGCTATTATAATTACGCTTAAAGATTATTTATCTATCAGGTGTACCAGAAGAAGCATGGATACTAAATTCCAGAATCTCGGTTCTAGTACCAGCTTTGCCACTAACTAGCTCTGTAATCATGGACAGAGCACTTCATGTATCTAAAGGTCAGATTCTTAAAACTGCAAAACAAGCAGTGGAAACTAGGTGACAGCTAAGATACCTGAGCTCCATTCTGTAGTTCTGTGATTCTCTAATAGCATATTCTTCAAGCTTTTCTATACTACCATAATCCTAGGTTGTCCTTGGCCAAGTAGCAAAGAGCAACTATAAGTTAAGTAAGACTGAAGAGGCAGATTTTTTAAGTGGCTTTTTTAGCTAGTACAAGGGCAAGTCCCAAAAATGTGAGTGCAGTTTTAAGCAAATAAAGACATAAATGAATATAACCACACCGTATTGTTTTATTCTGAAAGTCTACAGTGATAAATACTGCTTTAAGAATGTAATAACCAAACATACCATCTCTGTTATCCTCTAAATCTTTTTGTTTCTCATCTCTCTCATCAGGATAATCCCCATAATCATCATCTTCATCATCACTGTACTGACCAAGAGCATTCACCAACTCCACAAAAATCTCATCATTTATAAACCCGCATTCTGAAATTAATCACATTGAAATGTCAGAAAATAATGGTAACCTGCCATATTTATTTTAAAATAAAACAGCATATCACTCAGAACCAAAATAAAAATCAGAAAGAAATAATTTATAATTATTTTCAAAGCTAGCCCTAGGTAAAATCCTGAAGTTCTGTGGCTTGTTCCCATTACCCCTAAGTTAGGCATGGCACTCATGCACTACCTGGGACCAATCACCTATCACAATAGCTTCTAGAAGTAGATCTCTTTGCCTGCTGCCATCATAAAGAGTTCTTAAGAGAGCCTAACTCAACTAATATCTTAATGGTGGCATAAGCTACATTTTTAACAAGGATCTTCTGGAGACACAATAACATCATAACAGGTTTCTTCTTCAAAAACAACCCACTCTCCCTCTTCCTACTACTTTTTTTTTTAAATCGGGTACAGATAGCCTAATTTTACTCCACAGAAAATGCAACACACATGAAGGACTCATAGGAGGCCATAAAATTTCCAGGAAACCCATAGAAGACTCACAATAGCCTATTACATGTATTTTTACAGTTAATAAAAATGCTTCTGAAGAAAGAAAGACAGCATTCTCATAACGAATAGCTGGCCCATTTCTCTCATTAGTGAATTCCTCCAGGACCCTCCATTTTATGGAAGGGCTCAGGCCAGCTGGCCTTCATTCCAACCCAGGCTCTGCTCCAGACTTCTGAGATTTCTAAACTACGGTCCCAGGTACCTTCTTCGTCATCCCCACTGCTTCACCTATCTCTCCCACCTTTTTAGGTCCCTTTTGTTTATGGTCTAAGAAACATAAGCTCCTTGAGGGCAAAGATTGTCTTTATTTTTATTTGTATTCCTATCCTTAACTAGTGCCAGGTATATAGTAAGCACTTAATAAATGTTGATTTCATTTCTTCCAAATATTCACAAATTCATGTGGATTTCAGGCACTGTAATATGCAGCATAAGAAGAAAATATAGGCCAATGGATACCTTCTAGAGTCTTCAACCAGTGACATGTGGGCAAACACTGACTCAACCAACATGTAGACTGTTGGCCTAATAAGTGCCATTTCTTAGCTAAATGTTTTACCCTATCTAGCACCCAGGTGAGTGTTCAGTAAGAAGGAACATGCTGACTCTGAATTTGAAGGACCACCCTAGGATCAATTTAACTAAATGATAAGTCCTATAAATATTTGAGAATTCTGTATCTAATTCATATATTACTTGATTGTATGTTTAATTGTATGTTAAGGTTAAACTGTGCATTTAATTGCCCCCCTGAATAATTTAGTACATAATTTCTATAATACTCCTGTCATTCAAGCTGAAAACACAACTCCAAGTTTACAAATAAGGAAAATTAAGACACAGCGAAGTGATGTGGCCTCAGAGCAAAGAATGAATTATAACTTCAGGAACCTATTGCCCACAACTGCTCTATGCTGAATGTATGAACTGCTCTACTCCTTATCAGAAGATTAAATATATCAATGTACATAGCTCACCTCTATCTCCATGCACTTTTCCATCATAATTTTTTATTAATTCTTCAATGAAAGTTCCATCCTGATCAAGAACCTCATCCCCCATATAAGGAATGTTATGTAAAACTGTCTCATCTTCCACCTAAAAATAATTAAGACATTTAAAAAGCCAATTTATCCCATAGTAGCAAAATAGAAAATCATTAGGTGTTTTTTCGTATAAAACATTATATGGACACAGTTCTGGGGTTATCCAAGTGTTATAACCCAAATCTAAAGTGGTAAAGCAAAAGATCTTCGTGGCACAAAGACAAAATTCTAAAAGACCTTTTTCACTAGTCAACCAAGAATTACTGAGTAGCCATTTAGGAAAAAGCACAGTTGTAGGCTCCATGGGAAGCTGTAAAAGGAAAGCAGATAACACATACATGGAAAAGATATTAACCTGTACAAAGGCTGAAAAGGTCACAACCAACTAAAGTATCATCTCTTAAAGATCTCCAAACTTTTAACTAATGCCCTACGTTTTCCAAGTTTATATGATACAAAATACTAGTGCAACAAAAAAAACGGACAGTCCTTTAAAGTTTATGGCACCAGGATAGCACCTATATATAAAACTATAGACTACTTACTTCAAAGTGAAGGAATAAACACTTTAGTATTAGGATTAGATGTGTATCAACTGAGTGAAGTTATTCAAGGAAGGCTGAATGAGGAATGTGACTTTGGAGCCAAGTTTGGAAGAAGGAGAGGGCCAAGGCTTAGCACAGGGATCAGGAGGAGGAGGGCACTTTGGGAAGAAAAAAAACACAATAAGAAGCAACTCATATGCAAAGGACAGAAGGCAATTTTTTGTGGATAGAGGAAAGCTTTCATCTGGGAAAAGCAAGAAATAAAGGTAATTTGATGAAGAGAAAAAATGATGGGGGTCCTAGTCACACATGTCTGAGAAATCTGGCTTGATAGAGAAAATGGTAAATCACATCAGGTTTATGAGTGACAGTTAAAAGCACACTTCAGAAGACAGTTGTGACTATTGTCGTCTATTGTATAGTATGGATATGTATAGTGCAGACAAGCTAGAGACTAGACAATAGGCAGACTGACTTAGGTAGCTATAGTAGTCATATAAACATGAGATAACTACAGTCTGCGATCTGTAGCTAGGGTGCAAAACATTAAAAGGGGCAGATTGTGGGAGTTATAAAATATGACCTGGTAAACAACTGAATATAGAAGGCCAAAAAGAAAAGTGACCAAACACTACGGTTAATAAGTTTGAAAGTTTACAAGAATGATGTGATGGTACCTTTCACAGAGCTTAAATTAAATTAGAAGAGTCCAAGAGGTTGGTTTTTGATGATGACACGTAAAGATTCAAGCTTTTGCTATATTCCCCCTACAGGGGCTTTCAAACTTGTAACAAAATTCCTGTTTTCTCTCTCTCTCATTCATTCCTTTCCACTAATCTCCTTTCTCTTAGAAATTTGATTTCTCTGGTTGGAAACTAGGACTGTAATAGCTGACAATTATTACCTTTGCAGATAAATTTACTCCCTCATACCCAAAAACTTTTATCCTGCAATAAACAAAAGCAACCTCACTATGTTAGGGGCAAAAAATATATGTGCTTTAAATATATTATTTGCTGCAACGTTGGAAACTATGTCCTTTCAGAATTAATTTCACAGAATGTGAAAATATTATACCTTTTCCCCCTTCACCAGATTCTGCTATAATCAGATTAAGATAATTAGTTTCTGAAACAATACTAAAACCTCATGTATATGAATACCACAAATTCAAATTTAGAAAGAAATGGAATAATGTCTACACTTTTGATCTATCATCTTGCTTAAACCAAGACTATAAACAATTAAAAAGGATATTTTTTAACCTCTTGAGATTTTCTGGTACATTAAAAACATACACTTAAATAAAAACAATTAATCAGTAAGCTTGTTAATACAAATCTCAGCTATTTTCTAAGATTTAATCTAGTTCCATTTATTTCACATGAGAGCAACAGAGCTTATTCTTCAAATATCTCATAAAGTTCAGACTGATCCCTAGCGCCCTTTCAGCTAACACCCCACCTCAGGTGAATAAGGTTTTATATAAGGTACTATTATATTTACAGGAAGTCTGGTTCAAACATATTTTTCACATCTGTTTTCAACCTAAATACACAATGATGTTCATGTTCTTTCTATTCTGATACAAAAAAAATATCAAATGAGAAGCTGCCATAAAAATACCATAAAGTCAAAATCAGATTTGGCTACTCAGCTAAAATATAAAATAAGCACCATTTGTTAGCATGTGAAGTTGTTTTATAAAGGGTGGTAATAGGATGCTGTTTTTTTAAACAGGAAAACACAAGGTTATCAAATTCACAGAAAAAAATTTCTAAGCTGAAAGGTAAGAAAGAAAAGGAAGGAATATGCACAGGCACATACTATATAAACAAAACTAGTTGCCCTACTTGTTACATGCTGACCCTTAAATTATTTGATTCTTCCATTTGAGAGATGTACCTAAATTAGATATTCCTTCTATAGTTTGCTATTTATCCTACTTAGCTAAATACAGCCCGTAGCTACAATTTTGATTAGTACAACTAAGAAAAACTACAAATTTTGTCCACTTCAAAGTCAGGCACAGCAAATAAACACCAACTGATTTATGTGAATAAAAAATTTCAGAATCCTTTCAAGAAAAGAGTACTGATTCAAAATCTATAAAAACCTGGATAGTGCTCCCGCCTTGGAGTCAGGAGGACCTGAGTTCAAATGTAACCTTGGACACTTGACACTTACTAGCTGTGTGACCCTGGGCAAATCACTTAACCCCAATTGCCTCACCAAAAAGAAAAAAAATCTATTAAAAACTACAAGAACTTAAAGCCACAATTCAATATTTTATAAAGCTCTATTCGCCTTGTCTTTTAAGTAAAAAGACACAGTTTAAAAATAGTCCAATTATTAAATATGTATTCATGTAATACCAATTTAATAGTTTTAAGTTGAAAAGCTAGCTTTGGCTGATACAATGTTAATTAAGAAAACATGATATGCCCCCAAAAAATCAAGATTAAATTGATTATCTCTATTAAAAATGCTTGCTTTCATCTGCAGGGCTCTTGTACTGGAGTTTTCTAAAGTGTTGGTTTTACAGATTAAATATATGACAGAAAGACCTGAGGACAAAAGAAATTAAAATATTAGGAACTATTTCCAACTGGAATTCCATTAGAATAACACAGCCCTGAAATTACAATTTAAGTTCACAAGAAAGTATGCTTTGCATGAATATTTTTTTCCTGATATTCAATTACACATCACCTTTAAAGTACGTCGCTTGCATTAAGTGAATCAACTCTATATAACAGGGAAAGTTGGACTTCTGATATAATGCAGCTGTGGTATAGCAAAAAAGCATTTTCTCCTAACTATCTATATATAAACACTTAATTCAGTTTTTTTCTTTGACTTTATATTCATTTTCAGTGACAGAGCAAGAGTACCAGTGCATCAAATTTACTTGTACTTTATCATTAAAAAGAAGTTAGTGGACCTTAAATTTGAAATGATCAAGGAAATAATAGGCATTATGGTATATGGAACAAAAGGCCAGTCTCAGGATCAAAACAACCTGAGTTCAAGTCCTCTGTGACAGATTCAGACTTTGTGACCAGCCAGTCACTTAACTTCTCACTGTCCCCAGTGCCCCCAGACAATTCTCTAGAATCGACTGTAGGAATAGTTAAATTGCCTATCTATAGAAGCAATTTCCCCATGTTCCTTAATGGGAGCATTCTGTACTGATGGAACTAAGAAAAACGTTAAAAGAAAAAGGGATTTTTTAATGTTAGGCTAACTTAAGAAAAAAAGGTAAAGTACAAAAGAAAAAGAGTATTGTAAACTATCTGATGTTTAATAATAACTTTTGTTGTTGGTCAGTCATTTCAATGCTGTCCAACTCTCGGTGACCCCACTTGGGGTTTTCTTGACAAAGATACTGGAGAGGTTTGCCATTTCCTTCTCGAGCTCATTTTACAGATGCAGAAACTGAGGCAGATAGATGACCAGACACTAACAAGTGTCTAATACAGGACTGGAACTCAGGCCTTCTTCACTCCAGATCCAGCACCTGTTATACTGTTCTTCAAATACTAAATATGTCTAAATATTAATTAGAAGCTCCTAATAAGACCAGGAACTTGGTATTAAGATTCAAATATAATGACAGCTTTCTAAGGGTGTAAATTTAAATAACTAGCTTTACCTTTTTTCTAAGGCCCTGATTTTATGCCACGTATGTTTTTCCAAGCTTTCGTTTAGAAAATTATAAACACCAACAAGCTAAGAAACACAACTAGAGAGGAGTAACAAAAGGAAAAAGTAGCCAATGGTGATTCCAGTATGGGCTTTTCTGGGAAACTTATACAATAAATGAAAATTCACATTAAAGCTATTATGACTTTTTTTTTTTAGGATTTACCTGCCTAGTTCACCTTATACAGAGAATAAAAATTATCTATGCTTTCTGTTTATATAAAGTTAGCTTTATGTTTCAAATAGATGAGATATAACATTTTACTTACCATAAAATTCTGCTGTAGAGGAGACCAAGAATACATTATAGGTACTGAAGCAACAGCATTCAGAGTCTTTAATGGGATGACTTGTTTTGGAAAATCCAAATCACTGGTCACCGAACACTAAAACAGAAAAAATTAAATTTATTCTAAAGATCAGTGAGCTAACTTAAAGCAAAACAGCTATCATTATAGCCGTCCATTTTAAAAGAAATGCTGCTATATTGAGTAATTTTGAAAAATAAATTATGTCACTGGTAACTTTCTTGAAACAAAAATGATTTTTAAAAATCCAGTTTACCTACACAAACTGAAGGAAATCTAGGCCTCAAAAAAAATTATTTCAAAATATCCACCAACTTTTCCCATACTTACCAATATGATAGCATTCTTACATTTTATATTAACAA